CCGCAGTGCTGGGCAGCTGGTGCAGTGCTCACCCACCTGCACAGGTGGGAAATGGAGTGGTGATGTTTCCCTCAGATTTTTCCTCGGGAAAAACATGGAGGAGAGTTTACATGAATGAGCAGCTGCAGTGCATGGAGTTCTGCCTCGGGATTGCTGAGGACCCAACCAAAAGTTAATCAGTTGGGAATAATGAGAGAACTGGGAAAAGGAACATTATAATGGGGACCTGCTACAGGTAGACGCCGTTGGAAGAGCAAGCAGATGCTGCCCTCTACCAACAGACAAGAGCAGCATCACATTCCCAAATGTGCTCATGAGGGAGCTCACCCACCCCTGCATTTCTTGTAGAGACACCACAGCATGCCGTAAGCAATCCAAGAGGTTCCTGGAGTTGATGAGTACTTCTTCCTCCAAGTGACAGAGCCAACAAGGATTGGTGCTCTGATGGATGCTCACCAGCAAGCAGGGACTTGTGGGGAGCAGGAAAGTCAAAGGCAGCCTTGGCTGCAGTGACCATGGGCTGGTGGAGAGCAGGGAGGAGGGTGAAAAGCAAGTCTTGGACTCCAGGAAAGCAGAACTTTGTCTCTTTGAGGAGCTGCTTGGAAGAGTCCTCAGGGTTAAAGCTCTGGTGGGAAGGGGGATGCAAGAAAGCTGGTTAATGTTCAAGGCTTACATGCTCCAAGCTGTAGCCCAAGTGCCGAGGGAGCTAAGGCCACTCTCCATAATCTTTGCTCGGTTGTTGCAACTGGAAGTAGTGCCTGAAGACCAGAGGAACACACATGACATTGCTGTCTTTATACAGGGCAAGAAGCAGAACCTGGAAAAATTCTGGCCAGCAGGACCCAGGGAAATACAGGAGCTTTGCCTCCATCAGGGGAAGGCAATGGCATAGCTCATCATTTCATGCACATGATGGAGAGGATCGTCAGTTAGACAGATAGACATGGATTCACCAAGGGGAAGTCATGCCTGACCAACCTGATAAGCTTCTGGAATGAAATCACCAGCCAGATGGATGAGGTGCGAGCAATGGACATTGTATTCCTGGACTTCAATAAGACCTCTGTCTCCTGTAAAATTCTCCTAGAGAAGCTGTTTAAGTATGGGTAGGATGGGCAGACATTGAACAACTGGACTCAGAGGGTGGGGATCAGAGGAACCCAGTCTGGTTGGAAGCCAGGAGCTGGCTATGAACCCAGGGATCACCACTGGCTGCAGTCCCATTCAACATTTTCATGTGTTGGGTTTACACAGCCACGTTTAGGTAGACTAGATGACCATCAATCAATTTTCTCAAGAAAAACATACATTTGAAATATAAATATGCTCAGAGGAAAGAGAATTGGATAGTGTGTGATAACAAGGTTCTGATTCAGCTGGCAGAAGTGGAAACTGAGCATCAGCTGCCTTACAGGGCAGTGCTGCTACAGCATCTTCAAAGACTGCTCACCAAAGTATTAACGTGTTGTGGCCAATGTTATCTTCACATTGTTATTTACTGTAACCTTGACACAGGCCTGCTATCTCAAAAAATATCTGGAAGAAAGGTCCAAATAGAAAAGCATGTTTCTGGGGGAAGAGCAATAGAGGGATGGTCCATAGCTACTGCAAAGGCATCCAAACCCATCGTGGTACCACAGCAAACAGCCTTGTTGCTGGCAAACTGGCTGTTCCAGACTGTAGAGATGGAGAGCAAGAACTTGCTCACTGTGGAGGTGTTTTGGTGCTTTTCTTTGGCCAAAAGAATTCTGAATTTAGCTCTACACACCAATAAAGGCATACAAGTAGTAATTGCAGGCATACAAGTATGAATTGCAGGTATTCCTACAGTGGCAGGGAAAGACAATGCAATGACCAGGAAAACCCATCGCATAAACACATGGCTGAGAGGCTGGTGCAAATGCAAGAATTTCAGGTTCTTTGATCCTGGGGCGATCCACTCGGCACCTGGCCTGAGGTCTGCAGATGGGTATCACCTGTCTCAAAGGGGGAAATGGATCCTTGTCCAGGAGCTGGCGGGACTTGTAGAGAGGTCTTTAAACTAGATATGAAAGGGGAAGGGGATAAAACCAGGCCTGCTAGAGATGAGCCTGGGGGAGCGATAATGGGGTTAGGGGTGAGGCGAGGGGCCCAGCTAAAATGTGTCTATACCAATGCACGCAGCATGGGCAGCAAACAAGAAGAGATGGAAGCCATTGTGCGGCAGGCAAACTATGACCTAGTTGCCATTACGGAAACGTGGTGGGACCACTCCCATGCCTGGAGTGCTGCAACGGATGGCTACAAGCTCTTCAGGAAGGATAGACGGGGAAGAAGGGGTAGTGGCGTGGCTCTCTATGTTAAAGAGTGCTTTGAGGTTACTGAACTTATGACTGGGGATGATAAGGTTGAATCCCTATGGGTTAAGATCAGGGGAAGAACTGACAAGGCAGACATCCTAGTGGGCATCTGTTACAGACCGCCGAACCAGGATGAAGAGACAGATGAGGTGTTCTATGAACAGCTGGCGGAAGCTGCGTGATCGCCGGCCCTTGTCCTCATGGGGGACTTCAACTTCCCCAACATATGCTGGGAATGCAACTTAGCGCAGAAGAAGCAGTCTAGGAGGTTTCTGGAATGTATGGAGGACAACTTCTTGATGCAGCTGATAAGAGAACCTACGAGAGGAGCTGCCCCGTTAGACCTGCTGTTCACAAACAGAGAAGGTCTAGTGGGAGATGTGGAGGTTGGGGGCTGTCAGCTGTCTTGGACAGAGTGACCACAACATGGTAGTGTTGTCAATTCTTGGTGGAATCAGGTGGGGGAACAGCAAAACTGCTACCTTGGACTTCTGGAGGGCAGAGTTTGAATTGTTCAGGAGACTTTTAGGGGGAGTCTGCTGGCGTTCAGTCTTAGAGAATAAAGGGGTACAAGATGGATGGTTGCTCTTCAGGAAGGAAGCAGGGGCTGGCTGTCCCCCTGAGCCACACAATGGGCCGGCGCGGAAGAAGACCGGCGTGGATGAACAGGGAGCAATTCTTGAGGCTCCGGGAGAACAAGAGAATCTACCGCCTGTGGAAGAAGGGATGGGCAACCCGGAAAGAATACAAAGAAGTTGTTAAGATGTGCTGGGAGAAAATCAGAAAGGCAAAAGCCCGGCTTGAACTCAACCTGGCCGCTGGGGTAAAAGGGAACAAGAAACTCTTTTACAAGTATATCAACAGTAAGAGGAGGACCAGGGAGAATCTTCATTCTTTACCGGATGAGACTGGGAATGTGACCACTGAGGATAAGGAAACAGCTTGAGCCCTCCACTCAGCGTCCTCTGCTCTGGGCACAACAAACCCAGTGCCCTCAGCTCTCCTCACACCCCTTGCCCTGTAGACCCTTCCCCATCTCCACAGCCCTCCTTTGGATGCTCTCTAACGGCTCCCTGCCCTTCTCACATAGCAGCACCCCATGCTTTAGGTCAGGCTGCAGCACAGAGCAGAGGGGACAGTCCTCTCCCTCACCAGCACTGCTGGGCCTGCTGCACCCCAGCTCTTTTGGCTGCAGGGCACTGTGGGCTCATATCCACCAGGATAACCAAAAGCCTCCAGAGCCCTTTTGTGGGGCTGCCATCTGTCCTCTGCTCCCCCCCTCTGTACTGAGAACCCATATCCAGTCACTGAAGGGAATAGAGAACTCAGAGCTCCAGGGGTCCCACGTCACATCACTGGTGATGAAATCAGAGGCTGAAGAAGGCATGAAATGCCTCTGCTCTATCTCTGTTTGTGAGGTGCCCACCCTCACCACGTAACGGCCCGATGTTACCAGCAGTGCAGTGTGGTTGGAGGTCTGTGAGTAGTGGTGTTCCCCAGGGGGTGGTGTTGGGTACGGTGTTGTTCAGCACCATAATCAACGATCTGGATGAAGGGATGGAGTCCACCCTCAGCAGGTTTGGTGATGGCACAAGCTGGGAGGAGCAGCTGACACATCTGAAGGCCGTGCTGCCATTCAGCGAGACCTGGACAGGCTGAGAGCTGGGCAGGGAGGAACATGATGGGGTTTAACAAGAGCAAGGGTAGAGCCTTGCACATGGGGAGGAATAACCGCAAGCATCAGTACAGGCTGGGGATGAGCTGCTGGAGAGGAGCTCAGGGGGAGCTGGAGAGACCTGGGGGTCTGTTGTGGTTTTGTGACATCTGGTTGTCAGTATGCCACATAAGAACACCAGCCTCTGGTAAGACCGAATGCTACAACAGGTGTGGTAGTGAGGGTCTGGCGCCCGGAAGATATCGCGTTGTACGGGAAGACAGGGTCCCCCTCCCGATAGCCAATAGTGTTCAGTGCCCAGGTGATATAAGGCTGTTTTTCCCGCCAATAAACGCCATTTGCCGTCCACCACATTGGTGTCAGCGAGCCAATGGACCGAGCGACCTGGGATTGGTCGCCGTGCCGTTCCCGAATCAGGTCGCCACGCCTACGATAGGCAACAAGTGGTGCCGAAACCCGGGATTCGCCTGGACGGGTGAACGGCG